AGTGAATCTAACCTTTTTTGATTTTTAAGAGCCTTTGAAAAAAACAAATTAAAAAAATGGCCTCAACAACAACAACAGCAGTGAATCGTATCACAGATTTTACACCATTCTTTTCAGTAATTTCAAAATTGAGAAAACCAAGTCCAATTCGTGCACTCATGCCAATTATGAATTTACCTGGTATGATTTCACTTGCAGGTGGTTTACCAAACTCTCAAACATTTCCATTTCAATCTATTAAAGTTGATTTAAATAATCAAACAAGCCTAGAAATTGGAGGTAAAGAATTAAGTGATGGATTACAATATCATCCAAGTCAAGGTTTACCTTCACTCACACAATATATGAGAAAACATCAACAAGTAACTCATCAATTACCATCCGATGAAAACAAACAATTGTGGGATGTTATTTGTACAAGTGGTTCTCAAGATGGTTTAACAAAAGCCTTTGAAATGTTTTTAAATCCATACAATGTACAATTACAAGGCTTGGATCTTTTTAATAATAATAATAATAATATTAATATTAATAATAATAATAATGAACAAAAAGAAGAAATGGATAAAATTCGTGATGCAATTATCATTGAAAGACCAACTTATTCTGGATCATTGAGTACATTATTTACATTAAATCCATTAATGATTCAAGTTGATGTAGATGCTCATGGTATTATTCCTGAACAAATGGAAGAAGCAATTATTGAATTTAAAAAACAACATCCAAATAGTATGATTAAATTCCTCTACACAATTCCAAATGGTCAAAATCCATCTGGTTGTTCACAAACTTTGGAAAGAAAGAAACAAATTTATGCAATTTCACAAAAGTATAATTTCTTAATTTTAGAAGATGATCCATACTATTATTTGTCTTTATATGATATTAATGATAAGGAAATGTCGTCATCAATTGAAAGAGTTCCTTCTTATTTAAGTATGGATACAGATGATAGAGTTTTGAGATTTGATTCATTTTCAAAGATTTTAAGTAGTGGTATTCGATTGGGTTTTGTTACTGGTCCAGTTAAACTTATTAATCAAATTGTTTTACATATTCAATCTAGTAATTTACATAGTTGTGGTTTATCACAAACTATTGTTTGTAATTTATTGAACAAATGGGGAATGGATGGATTTTTAAATCATATTCAAATGATCAAAAATTCTATACATCA